TTCCCTTCCTATTTTTCCCCCTCCTTCAGGGTTTTAATTATATCTTTTCCCTCAGAGGAGCAGGAGGTAGTTTTCAAAGCCAAGAGACCAAAGTACTTCAGTGCTATTCAGGGGAGAAGTGACTGTGGTCTCTCAGCTTGTCATCTAGGTCTGGCAGGTGCACAAAGTGAGCTGGCATACAGATAAGTGCCACTCACCATTGCTACACTGAGGCCCTAGATCCTTTTCTGTTTGCTTGTGTGTAGGATTATCTGATACTGGAATCAACTATCCTAAAGTCTCTTCTGGGAGCCTGCTACAAAACCACTTTTTAGAACCCCCTTGACACCCACAGTGAAGCTGTACATAAATTTTAACACGTACATGGGACAGAATCAGGTGATCTAAATCACACGAGGCTGAACTGGAGCATTGGGATGGATGGAGACGAGTGTTACGCAGTTAAATGAATTTGAAGATGTTCTGTTCTTCCTTGACTTCACATTTGCTTTCTCTGCATAAACACGTTCATTGTGGGCACACCTGTGTGTGTTTGTGTGTGTACACATGTATTTTACAGATTGTTCATAGAATGTGTCAAAATGTATTTTATTCTTCTGCATAATGCTGTGTTAATTTGAAAAGAACATATTTGTCTGTTTTCATTTTAGAAGTGTACTGACTGTCTTACTGCCTGATTTCATATAGTATTATGATTCCAAATTTACATTTGGGAAGATTATTCAGTGGCTGCTTCTTTCTTTCATAATTATCCTCAGGAGTTGTATTGTTTCTGCTGTTTTGCTGCTCTTAGTGATAGTAATGAACATGTAACTAAATTATGGGAAAAACAATGTGTTGTCTTTTTTGTCTTTCTCTTCTTCAGTCACTATGAGCAAGACCGGAGTGCACTTAAGCGGAAAGAATGGGAGAGAAGAAACCAGGAAGTCCAGCAAGATGAAGATCTCTTTGCTTCAGGTTTTAACCTCTTTGGGGAACCCTACAAGGTAAATTGCATTGTTATGCTTTCAGAATGTCTCTTACGTGAATGTGTTTTCCAAATAGAAATAAAGCTACTCATCACCTGTAAGAAATGAAAGTGTCACATCTGCCGTGGTACTTATAGTCTTGAATACACTGATTATCCAAATCTGCATATGGCAGCAGAGTAAACGGAATGTTCTGCCCACCCTTGCATGCTAGCATTGACAGAATCAGGAGTTTTGGTTACAGTGCAGTTCAAGATTTCTTCCTCCAAACACAAAGTCCTACGATAGAAGTATGTGCAGCTGATATCTCTACAAGTGGGTTCGTACCTACAAAGCTAGCACTTAGTCCTTTTATTTTTAAGAAGAAAATATACCTGAGTTGTTAAAACCAATGTCCTCTCTCTAGATAATGAGTTTATAAGCTTGCTTGTGCAATCATAACCATCCAAAGTCGTCTTTTGGGAGACTGTCTGAATCTTTGGGGAGCACAACAAGGGTATGAAAGGGACTCATGACAAGCCTTATTCTCTCTAAGGAGCTTTACTGCCTGAGATTTTCATCACCAAGGGATGTCCCCCTTTATGATTTCTGCTGCTTTGATTTTCAGTAAGACATTCCCTGAAGAATTCATCAGAATGTAAATTTCCATTTCTCTTTCTCCTCCCAATCAGTGCAATCCATTGAAAGGCCACCACTTCATCTTTCCATTTTACATTGTTAGCAGCTGCAGGGAGGATGAGGGCTCTTTGAAAATCGCATGAAAAGGAGGAGGAAAAACTGGCATTATTATCAAATGGCTTCTAATAATTATAGACTGGGAGAGCGTGACAGATACACTTGACTCCTAGCTGACTAAGGAGCAACAGGACTCACGTCATTGGGGTGAACTTGCGAGCTGGAAAGCCCCTGGCTCATGTACAAGAGAATGAAGGTGTCTTGAAAAGTACTTTGAAAGGTGGTTTTGAAGCCCCAAAGTGCAAGGTAACTGAAGTACAGAACAAGATATCAGAGCTAAAACAGACATCTTTCTTGTCTGTACTGTCGACTAGCAGCCAACTACTTCATCCTATAAATGTTACCATCAGCATGGGCCCAATTTCAGCTCTCCCTGAATTGCAGCTGGACTGCCCGCCAGGTAACTTTCCCCTTCAGCAGGGACACCTCTCCAGGGTAGAGATTCTTTACCTGAGACTAAGAGATCCTTCTTTACCCAAAGTGGAGAGATCCCTTACCCACAGCAGATCCTCCCGTAAGTGACTGATAATGTGCTGAATGAATACTATAGAACATTTCTAATCCATGTAGCTACTCAATATTATTGTAAATATTGTATGGATAATTCGATTAAACATAAACTGTTGGCCAAGTCTGAGACTAAGATTGGATCCAGCCACACGTAGGCTGCAGAGGAGTTTAGAAAGTAAGGAGGTCCACTCTGAAATTCCTGACTCAACGAGAGGACCCTCCTTGCTCTTTATGTCTCTGGTCTCTGTGTGAATCATTCTAACTTGCTTCTAACTCAATTTTCCTTTGGAAGTTTCTTCCATGCAGTAATTAATAAGGTGAACCTTGCCATCAAACTTATTGAACCTTGTCAAACTGTGTTAAATTCCATCAAACTTATTGAACTCTGTCAAATTATTATTTTACCTCAATAAAACATACTGCTGCTTTTCTCTTTTGAGTGAGGTGCATTCCACTCATCCATGACAGAGGCTTATTCAGCCAAATAAGGACTATACACTAGGACAGTTTGTTTGTGGGATCTTTTGGGATTGTTTTTATAAAAATCTAATCAATGCGCTATTTCTGCATTGGACCACATTTTAGCACCTTTATTTATGGGAGTAATAACTTACTATGAACTGATTTTGTTGAGACTTTCCGCAAGTCACGCAAACATTTTTGTTCATGTAAGGGGTCATTTGGATTTCAGAGGTAGACCAATATGCAAATCACTGCAAAATTGTCACTGTCGGGAACTTAAAAACATGCTCCTCCAATATCTAGTGTGCCATTAGAACGATAATATCCGATTATACATCAGTGTGCATGTATTTGCACCAGGCATACACAGAGCATATGTTTTGTCAAAAACTGAACAACTAAAAAGCAAAAAATTATTGTGGTGCTTTTCCTGAGCATTTTTTTTTTAATTGCTTTTCACCTGTTTGCCAGAGAAGTTTGTCAGATCTGTGGGACTGAGCAAAACATAACATATTACTGTCCTAAAAAGCCTTGTAATTATAAATTGTGAAAGATAAGAGGAAATTGCATGCAAAAATAGTTAACATCTGTCTTAAATTTGCAAAACAAAGAGAAGCAAGACTGACTAGGAATGCCAGGTCTTGCCTACATTTTACACTATGGGGAAAAATAAAAGACAAAGTGATAGACTGGTGTTTCATTTATAAGTTCTGCATTGCTAAGAACCAGCCACAGTACCATTTCCTAGGAACTAATGAAAGCTGGATCCAACTAGAAAGGAGCCCAAATTTTCTCATGGAGCTTGCTGCCATTGTGTATCACGAGATGTGTGGGGTATCTGCCGCCATCTGTCATCTCTTTAGCTGTTAGAGCATCTTTCTTTCTATCCCACTGTCAAAGAAAATGTAAGTGATCGTTATAGCTTTGGACAAGTGCACTTTTCCACATCGATTCTTTGTAGTATATGTATGTGTAGACATACATGAAGAGAGATACTTATTTCTGTGGGTGTATAAAATAAATTTGTACCTGCTTATTAAAAGATTAAAGTGTTCTTTTGAAGCTCCGCTGTCTCATGTGGGAAAACACCACGTTTGACAATGTGATGACACCCAGCGTTATTTTGGGAAGGTCGGGCAGCAAGGACTATGTTGCCCTTTAATGCGAGTGGGTTGCAGGTCTCGCCTTTGAACTGTGGTGCAACCTGCTTGTCGTGGTTTTTGGACTGAGGGTCGAGACAAGAACCGAAAGGGAGCACCCACCAAACATGGTCTCGGGCAAAACATGACTCAGGCTTTCTTAATAAAACAAAACAATTTATTAACAGTTACTTAACAGGAGACAAGGGAACGAAACCGGTTACTTGAGAGGAGAAAAGAGAAAACAAGGCCCGATCTTAAAACAACACCTCCCCACCCCCTATTTTCCTTTCGTTCCTGGCTCTGTCTTCCCCCCAGCGGCGCAGGGAGACAGGGAATGGGGGAGTATTGATTTTGCAGAAGTGATCAGAGAAGAGCCTGCCATGTTATGGCAACAGACGTTCGACAAAGCAATGTCAGAGTTTTCCTGAGAGAAGCTGCAGTTTTACTACTGAATTGTTGATACCTTTTAATGTTTTGAATTAGTAAAGAGTTTCAGAGATGAGCATTTTGGAGAAAACGATAGTATTTTTGTTGCTTTTCAAAGGAATTGCCTCAGAAGAGTTCATCTTGAGAAAGAGAACCCAATGGTCAGCGTTTCCATTGGGGAACTTTTGGTGAATGTTAAATGCTTTATCTTTTTCAGGTAAAGCCCCTCCATGCTATTCAAGCTTAGCATAAAAAAAGATCTCAGCTTCTAATCTATGTAGATTAGTTTAACTATGAGGCATGAGAAAGTGAATGAATTGCGAAACATCAAGTTTCATACAAATTTTCACAAAACCCTTGTAAATTGGACCTATAAGTTTGAGTGCATTAGTTCTTTTCTTTGTGAAACTATAATGCAATAGCTAGCTAGCAAATTAGTCTTCCAGTAGGATTCTATTACCGATCTTTTTTGAAAGCAATAGAAGGAAATGTAGGAAGGAGTACATTTCCTAAATTAACAAGAGCCTAGAATGAGGGGGAAGGCTACTAGCCATGAGTCACAAACCAGACGTATAATTTATGCCTTGGAATACTCAAAATGCTGCGTTTCCTTGATAGCAGAAAATTGTGATTCAACATGCTGTTCAGAAAATAAGATGTACAGAGGTTTCCTTTAAGAAGTCAGCCAATTATGCAGAATATGAAGGTAGAAATTGTCCCCAATCTGGAAGTAACAAAGAGCGACTAAAAATTATGACTGAATTTTGTGCTTGTCTTGCTGGTATCCAGGCTTGTCAAGAATACTCTGCTCCTCACGAGAGCCCTGAATTTGTTGATGAAAAAAAAAAAAACCGTTAACGTTATGCTTCATGTCTTAAATGCAGGTAGTACAGTGTGCTACACACCTGAGCTTGTCCAGGTTGTGATGCACAAGTCCAGTCTTCGGTGTGCGTGCTCTAGTTTTAAACAAGCATACGCCAAGTTACCACGCACATTGACTATGTGGTTTTTTGCTTTGCAATCTGGTCCAGAGCCCGTTGAAGAGAGTAATAATCCTGCCATTGACTTCAATAACTATCGAATATGAGCTTTAGTGCACTTAAAATATGCTAAAGATGTTTAAATTAATTTAATCTCCATGCTTTTCAGGAAATATATATTTTATTACTGCTCCCAGTAAATGACAATACCTAACGTTTATACAGTGTTTTTTATCCCCAGGATGTGAACATTCTGCATAAACATAAATCAAGCAAAATTATATTTATCATTACATGACATGTAAAAGAAAATAAGTTGAGAGAATCAGATGCCTCCAACACAGAAATGATTGAAAAGCTCTACATTCAAATTAAAATATTGATTCCCTCTGTGAGGATCTAGACAAGAGCCATTTAATGTGCTGTGATGTTGAAATGTTACAGGGATGGTATGTTGTCAGTATTTTATTTTTTAATTTTTTTAAAACTTTTGCTTTCTGGGAAGTAAGCTAAATGCAGCCTGGAAGTATAGCAGAACCAGAGGTGAAGGTTGGTGGTCAGGCTTTTTTCGATACTTGGTTGCTTCCCATGTGCTATCCCGTAAGGAGTTAAAGTGTTTGGGGAAGGAGGAAACAGAACAAGTATGTAAGTGTTTAGACTTCGCATCATAATTCCTGTGCCCTTAAGCACAATGGAATCTCCTTGTTTTAAATTTGGGGGTTGAACAGAGAGAGCCTGGTTTTGGCTGCTGCCCAAACAGCTCATTGTGCAACTCAGTTGAAGGAGACTGCTCATGTACAAAGAGCTTATTCTTGGCTTAGCTAGAATATAATTTTTGCCACTAAAATGACCAACCTAGGGACTTTGTTAGTGAATAAAAGTGATTCGTGGTTCTCCACAACTGGGATTATTAACTGTGTCAGTTAGGAGCACTGGCAAAATGTGTATAGATGAGAACAACATCGAACAGTTAACTTTTAAATCACTGCCTCAGTGCAGTGGTAATATACGTTGCAATCCCTGAGAATGAGCAAAAAAAAATTTGCATTTATTATCTTCCTTTTCAACATTTTTTATGGCATGTGCAGTACTAAGGAAAAAAAAAATCTTTCTGCAATATTCTTCTCATCTCCTGACTCGTTCAGCAGCAGGTAATATACGGAGATATTTCAGGAGAAATCCATGCTTGGATTTTTTTCGTCACTCAAACTTCTGCTTAATATTCGAGGAAAATGGGATCAGTAGCATGGTAGGTTCCCTCATCAGGGAATAGTGTGTGACACTCTCTAACCAAGCAGAAGCTCTTAGTGATGCCTTTTCCCATCTTTATAGCCTGGTGTTAAGACGTTTTTGGACTTGCTGTATCCAGTGAATAAAACCCAACCCAAACACGAGCAAAAGTATAGTTGGCTGTATCCTGAAGTGTCTTACATACACTGAAACTTTGTCATTTAATTCCAGACTGTAGAAGTTAACCATCTGCTTGAACAGGAACGGTAGTTTTGCTTTGTTTTTATCCTTTGAGTCTTGCAAAGTAATAAGTGTGGGGAATAAGATGTTTTAGTTCTCCGCTGGTCATTTCAATGGAATAAAGGTCAGTAAGAAGGTTGGTACTTTGGGTCTCTGTGGGGTGAGTTAGTACAGGAAGAGAGGAAATTAGCTGCATATTAATTATAACTTCCAGCTTATTTGTCCAGCATTTTACAAGTGAAAGGGAAAAGGAACCAAAAAACCCCACTTTGTGCTTCAAAAGAAAAAGTATAATAGCAGTGAAACACAACTGAGTCAGTATTTATTTAATAATTACTGGAATTCAAAGAAAAGCACGATTCACAAATACAACCAGCCTGCAGACAACAGAAGAATCCCGATACTTAAGAATGTGGCAATTATGTCTATTTATGTTCTGTAAGAAAATATTTTTGAATGATTTTTTATTTGAAGCTACTGTAGCATTTGAGTGGGTAGAAGCTTTTTCTTTTCTGGATTCAGATGGTAGATACCTCAGGTCAAACAGAACCTTCTACAGAAAAGTAATTGGAGTTACATTGGAGTGAAGAGTTTGGTGCAGTATGTTTATTGCAACTACCCACCTTCTATTTATGGCAGGATTCTGGGTCAAGGGGCTGACAGAGCAATAACATACTTAAATAAACTGTGCGATTGCAATTCAGATGCTCAGTAGCCAGTAATTGCACGTTCATGTTTTGCATGATATGAAATGTACAAGCCCAACATCTCTGACATAAAACCAGCTTATATTGCTCCTAACATCCGTAACTGATGCAATTTGAACACTTCTCTGAGAGCATATTTAAGAAAATGGGAAGCAGTACACAAGTGTTACTCATGCAAGCCTGTTTCAAGAGCTTCTTTGAACACAGTTATTGATAGGTTTTTCTTGCATGACATATGCAAAATGTAATTGAAATTAAATTAAATGTCAGCATGACACCATTAAACAGCTAACATTTGCCATCTTCTAAGACAGCTAGTCTGAGCGTAACTTCATAATCAAGAATTTACTTTTTTCCTGTATTTATTTTTTTTATATTTTAGACAAATAAAGGCGATGCCCTTGCAAACCGTGTCCAGAACACATTGGGAAATTATGATGAAATGAAGGACCTGTTAACCAACCATTCCAACCAGAGCCACCTTGTAGGAATCCCAAAGAATTCTGTCCCACAGACGCCCATTGACAAAAATGAACAGAACTTTTTCCCAGAACCGAGAAACAGGATGATCCCATCTCATCAGATCAGTGGCCACTCATCAACATCGATGCCTCCGCCTTCTTCATTGTCATCTAATTCTACTTTGCTACACAGTCACCAGAGCAGCAGAAAGTCAAGGACAGACTGGTCGCGTGGTGGTCACAACTCTAGCGGGGCCCAGCCAAGCCAATCCAGCAGTCAGCAGGGTCGGGCAAAGCATAGCTCTTCTCATGACCAGCCTCAGGGCAGGTATGAAGACCTCTATAATTGTCAGAGTGAGCAGCATAAAAGTGGAGGAAATGAGGAAGCAAATTCTATGGCAGCATCTTCACATTCAAGGAGGCATACTCATTCGAAGTCAGCACCTGGAGAACATACTTACAAAGAAAACAGTCATTCGAAGTCACCCACAGAGCTTGAGTTTGTAGGTCATGGTCCTGGATCTCCACTTCCTTCCACTTCTTTGTTATCTGCAAACAATGGTCTTTCGACCCAGAATTTCCCACCGGGACTTCACTGTAAAAACAGCATGGTCCAGCAAAAGCCTACAGCGTATGTCAGGCCTATGGACGGTCAGGACCAGGTACCCAATGACTCACCTGAACTGAAACCTCCGATAGAAATTGAGAGTGGATATGGAAATCAGTCCTTTGGAACACTGCTGGAAGGAAAAGTGAACACACCTAGTTCAAAGAACAAAGTACCAAAGCTCAACATTCCTCCTGTTAGTGAAGTAAGTAGTTTCAAATGTCTTCTCTCTAGTATCGCTTGAGTATTTCATGCACTGAATATTTTTCTCTGGAAATATGCAGTTCCATTTCCTGGAATTACAGTCTAAACCATTCCTGTTTTCTAGAATGTGCATGACTACTTTTAGCAAAGTTTGTTGTGATAGTCTCAATAGCAATATTTAATGAAGTTTTAAAAGCACAGTTTGGAATACTAACATTGCTTGATGTTGGTATTGATTAATATCTAATCAATATTAGATATTAATCAATATCTAATTGATGCTGATTAATATTAAAAGGCTAGATCTCTGTTGGGTGTATGTATATATTTATACCAGCCAGAATTCTGGAAAGAGAACTCTAATATCTCAGTTCATCTGCAGTTTTCACTCTTGCATTTTCAGTTAGGAGCTAGTTTGATGGAAAGATTGCTGGTATAAACTCTTAAGGAAAAAGGACAGTGTTCAAATTTCAGCAGTACTAAATAGTTTTACCAGTAAGGAGTTTATTTGCAGAGTTTGCTAAATTCCTATTGCTTTTAATGGAATTAATGTGGCTTAAGTCCTGAGTAATGCTTATGAAAATGTGTCTCATTAAAGCTTTTATGCATTTCGAAGAGCTCTTAATAGTGGGATTCAGTCCCAATCTCTGCTACCAACAGTTTAAGCTGTTGAATTTTTTATTGCTGGTCAGTACAGTAGTCCTGGGAGGAACATTTTAGTTGGTTTATATTCGTGTCCATTCCAAGCACAGATGTATCATAAGGATACCAATTGAACTATTTATACTCTGTATACTTTTTCTCTTATTCTGAGTTTCTCTCAAGCAGTAACCTCTGCAAGGTAGGTTTATGGTGTACATATGAGCACTATTGCACTATGGGTTTTTCATAGCTTTCTGTTTTCCCCCAAATATTTCCCTGCTTGGTAATATTTTTATACTAGGCATGAGGAGTGATGCATTCTTAAACCACTTTTCTGCAAAAGGTCAGCTTTTTCTATTGAAATAATTGTTTCAAGCCAATAATTTGTTTGACTATTTAAAAACTTGATGTTATTTATTAACATTCCAGGCAGCAACAAAGACTGATGTGTTTTGCAGTAGAGCTTGGAATAATTTTCTGGGAACTGCATCTGAAAACAGTAAAAGGCCTATTTATATCAAGTGGAAGCTGAGGGTTGCTTGCAGATGGTGTTTTATTAGAAAATGTATTTGTTAATAAACGTAGCTTTGTACAAGATTACTTTACAGATGTTTCTGTTTATTTTTACCTTAGGTTAAAAATCTGCTGATGTAGATGGCTCATAGTCTGTTGCAATTTGTCATTAGCATTGTTTGGCAAGTAAATAATTGCATGCAAAGGAAATAATGATGTTGCAAAAGCCAATACATTTTTTCACTTTTGCCGTCTATTAACACTATGAGTCATCAGAGGCACTTTAAAGTGCAGTATTAATACGAGGTATTTTTGGAAATAGAACATACTTTTTGCAATTGTATCTACTATTAAGAATGCAATTTTTTTCTTTAATTTTTGAGCGAAATCCTGGCACTGTTGAAATCAATTGAGTTGTTAGCAATGGTTTTTTGGGTGCAAGATTTCACCCACAGTCTTTTTGCATAGCTCTAAGAACCTCCGATGTGAACTGTTGTTTTTGGAAAGTTTCCAGTCACACGGATGAAAAATGACACTGTGAATTTGTTGCTATAGCTGCTTTAGTTTATATCCCATGTAGTGAAAAGTATAGGTGTGTAATTAATTTCATTTATGATCAGATAAATGGTAAACTCTAGGCACTTTAGAAATGAATGCAGATAATAATCTTAAAACAGTCTGCGTTATGAGAGCGAACAATAATTTGGAGAGGGAAAGAAAACTCAAAGCTATGTTAAGGTGACGAATAACTTTCCTTTCTGATACAGAACATATGACAATAGCCAAGACTGATGGATCTTTTACAGGCAAATCTCCTCCTGAGTTTGGAGGGTTGGATTTTTTTTTTTTTACCTGTGTCAGGACTGTGAACTTTGGCCCTCTGTGTTTTTCCACAGATGTGTATCCTGAATTTGATTTACCCTGCGTTCAGCAATAAAACTCCTTCCAATCCAATGTTATAGATAACTGGTTTAGTTTAAGCTTAATCAGAACTGACAGTGCACACCTGTGAAACCCATAACCTTTTCAGAATGACTGCAGCGAGTGGCTCTGTTGTAATCTTTACACAATTGATGTGGAGGCTTATGATCCTTCAGTGGTGCTTATCAATTTATGAACCTTCCCTAGCCACCTCGAGCCGTAGTGATCTGCTTGAAACAATTTTGCTCCTGCTCCACGAGTTTCCATCCTAACACTGTTCTAGGTGGTGGTGGTGGTGATCATCTTCAAACTAGCAGTAGGAAAGTTACTTTTTTGGGGCGTTTCTCCCTAATTTTTTCTGTGGCTCCCCTGTACTTTGAGTCCATTTTTTCAATTTGCTGAGTGTACGCGTAGAGGTTGCACACCAAACCTTTTTCCGTGATTTCTCTCAAACTTTCGCATGCTTTAAAGATGAGGAATTCTGTGAAGAAATAAAATTCCTGGGTGATGGTACTGCAAGAATGGCATCTATTAAGATGTGCAAAGTTAGAAAAGAAAAAGACAGTTTTGCTGCCTTAAGGAGGAGGAGAGGAAGAAGTAACCAAATATTTAAACAAGCAGATTTAAAAGATGAGTTCAGACTGATGTGAAAATATGATCTCATTTATTATGGCTTAATGGAATAGGATGTTGAGTGCCCTGGAAGCGTTCTGCCATGTGTGAGGAAGTGATCAATTTTATAACATAATTTGTGTCACTTGAGGTGTTGCTCTAAGAATTTTTGCTCATTCCTTGGGCCCAATTCTGCCCTCAGAGATGCCCATCCATCTTTCATCTCTTCTGGAGTGGACAAAATTGTTAGTGCCTTGATGCTGGCATGTCTCCACTGTGCATTAGATTGTGGTTTAGTGATTTCTGAGCTTGCAGAGATTCGTGGTAAGTTCCCACAGCCTTACCAGACTGGGTCAGGATGTTGTGTTAGCAGCACTTATGCACCTGTGGACTAATCCTTGCCTCTGAGTGGATGCTGTTGTGTCATTTCCAGACCTTGACTCACCCACACAGAGTTAGTTCAGACCTGTCTGCACCACGTGTGGCCATTTCTGGTAAAGAAATAGGAACAGCAAAGCCTCTGGAGACTTTCAGTTATGTCCTGGAAGGATTTCTTTATGATTTTGTGATCCTTTTGATTTCTTTTACCTTCCTCCTTCATTTTACTTATCAGTATTGGTTTCTAAGGGTGAAGTTTAAAAAGTGTTAGTTTTTTTGTGCCTTGAGCAAAACCCGATGCAATCACTAGCACCCAGGCTTATCACCCTCTGAGATTCAGAAATTGTGAAGCAGAGCTTTCAGAACTGGGAGGCCAGAAGGCCGTCGTGTGACTTCAGGGGAACTTGCAGAAATGCACCAGATGTCATGACACAGAATAATTGATAGAAAGCCTCAAGCTGTAAACATTATTTCTTGTTCCTTTCTTATTAACTCTCATCTCTTTAGTCTGTATGTACATATGCACTTACATACCTATATATATTAATTTTGAGCTTACATTTAATATTTGGTAAATCGTGGCAAGCCTGGGACATCGCAAAGAGCTTTTGTGTTATGTAGAGTTCCACCTACTTAAATTGTATGATGGCAGATGATTGTTACTTACCACTCTAACAGAACTGCGTGGTTAAATCCTATGCATTTCTTTAAAAAGTAGATATTAGAGACCACAATAACAGCTGATCCTCTCTCTGCTGCATTAAAATCCAGAATCTTGAAATGTGTATGTATATTTAAAAGTCTAGGAATCAGATGCTTACAAATTATTTCAAATAGACTAACTCAGCAGGAGATAGCTGAAAGAAAGCCTTTACTTTTCAGATTGGTCTCGAACACAGATTACTGAGAGTACTGAGTAAAAGCGAAGGGTTTTAAGGTCTGTGGGAACATCAGAAGATGCATTCCTGGAAAATCTTACATGCGGTTCTCCAGAACAATGCATGGATTTCCAGTAAATGTTTAGGGATGGGAAATCAAGAGCCATTGAGATAATGTTTGATTTTTAAGGTAGAGTTTTAAAATCTCACTGCAAAATTGGCCTCATGTTCCTACAAAGTAGCAAATGCTTGTATACCAAATTTTCCCCAAAATACAAAGCTAGGAACAAAACTAAAAGGCCTACAACATCTATGTCACCACCCACTTAAGTCATAAAAAATGGAGAACTTGTATTTTCACTTTACTTCTAGGAAAATATTTTGACGGGTTCAGTGTACTGCCAAGTGATAAGCTTCTGTTACGTGTTTCAAATCATTCTGTTACCGCTGCACGTATCGATTAGCTTAGTACTTTCTGAGCTAGCTATAAAAAAGGCTGCTCTCTTGCCGCATTAGAGAGCGAGAAAAATTGACAGGTAGATGACCATATTGATTGAACCTAAATAGTAAATGCAAGAGGCTTATATATGACTTATAAAACTCTTTATAGGAACCAAAGCCAGTTTAATACCTTTTTTTTGGTTAATTAAATGGAAAGTAGATGTCTTTAATTAACCACCCCCACACTCTTTTGATATCCATGCTACTCTAGTTGCCAATATAGTACATTATGATAGTTGTGGGCAAATCACTTTTTTCAGATGCAAGCTTTAGCTGTCCCCCAGCCTTTGAGCTCTGAAGAATGATCTGAATCACGCATTAAGCTGAAATCCCTGTGCTTGGTTCGTATTTCAAAAGTCTGAGGCCAAAAGCAAACCCAAAGTGCAGTATTTCTTGCAGTATTACAGGTTGCAGCCATATGTTTTTCATTTGTAAATACTGTGAGAAGTAATGTTCTTGTGATACTTCTAAATGAAGACCATATGACACCAGTCGACTGAAGACCTCTTATTGTGGCCTTTCTAAGGCTACTGTCCGATTGCTTGGACAATTGCTG